GATAGCGCTCCCCGCACACGAGATTATCCCTTCTTATTAGGTACTGTATTCGGTCAAGTAATTTTAGGCCCAGTTAAACTTGGCCATCCTCAACAGGTCGTCCAATCGTTGCTTTCGGTCTCAGAACCGCCGCTAGAGCAAATTGTCGAACAATTTTGGGACATCGAAGAAATTCATTCCAAACCACTAGTCAATGCCGAAGAGGAATTCGCTGAATCCTTTTTCAGAAAATCATTGTTTCGAGACGTCTCGGGCCGTTTTGGTGTTGCACTTCCTTTCAAGGTTGCTAATCCCACTTTTGACGGTTCGATGGGCATTGCAGATCGTCGCCTTCGGTCCCTAGAGAATCGCCTCGCTTCACAACCGCAATTGAAAGCTCTTTATTTAGACTTTATGCGAGAATATTTAGATGCTGGTCACATGACACTATTGAGTACTAACCCGTGTGGTAATGATTGCTATTACATCCCTCATCATGGTGTTTTTAAACACGGAGAGGAAAATACCAAAATACGTGTAGTGTTTGACGCTTCGGCCAAAGCTTCAAACCAGCAATCACTTAATGATACTTTGCTAGTTGGTCCTAAGCTGCAAAAGGATATTGTGCAATTATTGCTACAGTTTCGAACGCATCCCTTTGTTTTTACTTGCGACGTTCGTCAAATGTACCGCCAAATCCTCATTCGTTTTGAGGATCGCAAGTACCAACTCATTCGTTGGAGATTTTCCCCTGAAGATCCAATCGCCACATACCAATTGAACACCATTACTTATGGTGTATCTTCTGCCCCTTACCTAGCTATCCGTACTCTCTTGGAATTAGCCGATATTGGTGCAGATCAGTTTCCTCTCGCAGTCAATGCCATTCGCAGTAGCCTTTACGTAGATGATTTAATTTGCGGAACTTCATCTCTTGAAGAAGCTAGAAAATTTGTCGCTCAACTCGTAGATTTGTTTGCCTTAGGCTGTTTCGAGCTTCGCAAATGGGCATCCAACTGCGTGGACGTTCTGGATTCTATTCCAGTTGAATTCAGGCAGGTTCAAGCACGTTCTTTTGATATCGACCCCTCCAGTGCGATTAAAATTCTTGGCCTTCAGTGGCATTCGTCTTCCGATACTTTTGCTTTCATTGTAAGTCCTCGTGACATGCCTTGTTCAAAACGTTCAATCTTATCACAAATCGCGCGGATCTATGATCCCCTTGGGTTTCTCACCCCAGTTAGTTTTTTTGCTAAATGTCTCATTCAGAAACTATGGTTGTTAGGTCTGGGTTGGGATGTTGAACCGCCTCACGAAATTGTTAGCTCTTGGAATCAGTTTAAGTCGGGACTTCATGAACTTTCGTCATTACAATTGCCTCGCAATTTACTCCCTCGTTATTTCTCTTCATGTGCATTACATGGCTTCTGTGATGCTTCTGAAAAGGGTTATGCCGCTGTCGTTTACTTTTGTTTTTCGCTTCAAGATGGAACCGCTACTACTAAATTCGTAATCTCTAAATCCAAGGTTGCTCCTGTTAAACAGTTATCAATACCTCGTCTGGAACTTTGCGGAGCTGTGTTATTGGCAAAGTTAATCAAATTCGTTTTAGAATCCTTTAGTGAGCTGGTTATCATAGATAATGTTATTGCCTGGACGGACTCAACCATTGTCCTCACGTGGATTCGTTCATTACCGCGGCAATGGAAGGTCTTTGTTAGCAATAGGGTGGCTTATATTCATGAGCGCGTGGCTCCTGGATGTTGGCGCCATATCCCTTCTCAAAAAAATCCTGCCGACTACGCGTCGCGCGGTTTACTCCCCAATCAGATATTATCTCAAACGCTTTGGTGGTCTGGTCCTGCTTTTCTGAATTTATCTCATAATTCGTGGCCTTCTGAGCCAATCAATAATTGTCCCCCTTTGGAAATGAAACAAACGTCCGTCATTACATGCGTTGCTCATACTACCAGTCTTGTCGATCCAGAGCACTTTGTTTTAGTGTTACTGGATGTGTCTTCGTTACCTAAGATAAAAAGCATTGTGGCCTATATCTTACGTTTTGTACACAACATGAGGAATCCCCGTGATACGCGCTTAGGTTCCCTGTCCGCTCAAGAATCCCACAATGCGTTATTATTTATGGTTAGAATTGTTCAAGAAAACTTATTTTCGGATCTTTTCACGAAGCTTCGTTCGCATAAAGCACTACCTAGATGGTTTGCCAAACTATCCCCTTTGGTGGGCGGAGACCATATTATTCGGGTAGGTGGTCGATTAGAAAATTCCTCGTTGCCATTTGAATCAAAACACCCCGCTTTGTTACCTCGCTCACATCGCCTTACTGAACTTTTGATTCGCCATGTTCATGAAATAAACCACCATACTGGTGTCAATGCAACCATGTACTTGATACAACAGAATTTTTGGATATTATCGGCCCGACGTTCTATTCGTGGTTACTTAGCTAAATGCAACCGTTGTTTTCGAGTTAATCCCACCGCTTATTCTCCTCCTACAGGAAACTTGCCATCCCTAAGAATAAGTGAAATAAAACCTTTTAGTGTTGTTGGTTGTGACTTTGCGGGACCCTTTAACATCTCTGCAGCTAGAATCCGTGGAACCAAAGTGGTCAAAGCTTATCTTTGTCTTTTCGTTTGTTTCGCCACCAAGGCGATTCATCTAGAAATGGCGTCTTCCCTATCTACCGACGCTTTTATTGCTGCACTTAGGCGTTTTATTGCACGCCGAGGACGGTGCGTTCAAATATTTAGCGACTGTGGGACTAATTTCGTCGGTGCTCACAGAGAATTTAATCGATTAATGAAACACTCGGTCGATTCACAAGCAATCTCTTGGTCATTTAACCCTCCTGCTGCTCCCCATTCCGGTGGACTCTGGGAAAGCGGTGTTAAGTCTGTCAAAAAACATTTAATTCGTATTGTTGGAAATCAAATCCTTACGTTAGAAGAGATGAATACTGTTATCGCGGAAATAGAAGCCATTTTGAACTCGAGGCCACTTTGTCCTATCAGTACAGACCCCAACGATCTTAGTAGCTTAACCCCGGGTCACTTTTTAACATTAGAACCATTATCAGCCCCACCGGATCCAGATTTATCTCATTTATCGGTTTCGCGTCTCACTCGTTGGCAATTATTGCAGCAACTGCAACAATCGTTTTGGTCGCGATGGAACAATGAGTATTTGCATACTTTATTTCAAAAGAGTCATTGGGCCAAAGATAAAAAACTTGTACCGGCTGATATTGGCGTCTTAGTTTTGCTGAAAGATGATACCACGCCCCCTCTACAGTGGCGGCTTGGTCGCATCGAAAGACTGTTTCCGGGGAGTGATGGAATTGCTAGAGTAGCATGCGTTCATACTACTCGCGGTAGTTTCAAACGTCCCTTAGTTAAATTGTGCGCACTGCCGACACAATAAATATGTTAATATACTTAATTAATTTCATAATATTTGTTGCATGTTTGTTTAATTTTATTTTTTTTGTTAAATTCCCGTAGAGTGAATTTGGTGGGCGGTATGTTGCATACATAAATAACGTACGTTGTCCTCCCTTTAAAAATTTCCTTGTATTGTTATTGCTCCTCATAATTTTGATTTTCCCTGCCGTGTTGTCCGTCCTTGTACTTAGTGCGCACGCAAAAATGTTGGTGGAAGGAACAAACAAGTGGGAATCTTGCTGTTTGCGATGACATAATACTACGACTGTCGTGTGCCGGGCCGAAAGAAAAGTTGGTGAAAACTCTACTCGACCATTCGTTCTGCTCAATAAGCGGCGTAAGAACTCCCTATTTTTTAACGCTCCCAAATATCCAGTACGTTATATAGCTCTATTCTCCGCCGCTAAATTGATTCAAACTGCATTTTAATATTACAGTTTTTTTTTTGGTCTTAAATTCATTTAACTTCTGATCATAAAAAAAAATTAGGAAGTTCGGTAATTTACTCTCCATTGCTGGTCCTTCCAGGGAATGGTGCAAGCTCAAATTTCAGGTAATCTTTAACTTCATGGTCAGTTTTTTTGGCTATACACATTCTTTGGAACAAAGTTAATGGTTCGATCGTGACTGTTACTTCGTTAATTTTAATACTGTTGTTGATTGCTGACAATGGGAGTACCTTGTCTTTTCGTTTGAATTTAATGGATTCGAAATTGTTGTATGTGTGTACCATGATCAGCATTCCCTTAATACCCCTTTCTCTAGATAAATGACAATTAATTTGTTCATTTCCAACAACCCCGGTGCTAATAGAAATAAGTGAATCGATTTCGGGGAAGGGGGGATCTTTTGATAACCAGTCCAACAGCTTCTTTAGATCTTGATTGTCTCGAGATATTCGTGAGGTCCTGGTATCAACATGTTGTTCTGATGAATCTAAATGAACATCACAATATTCTTCGATGGCATCGCATACGTTGTGAAGTGATATCATTCCTAAAGTCCACAGTACAAGTACGCTGTCACTGATCCCACGGCCACGAGTAAGACCACCACAACTGTTCATCATCCGCATTAAGGTTTGCTCAATGGTCATGTCACTCCAAACTCCTGACCAAAATTTATCTGAACGCCTAATCGTGAAATAGCCTAACGACGTGAATTTGTGGTATTCAACTGGATCCATTTGTTTTTCCAAGTCTAACATGCTTTGCAGGTACAGATGAGCAGATTTTGCATACAAAAAGTGACCACTTGAGTGGAAATAAGGAAGCATTCTTTGAATAGTGTCAAGATGCAGATTCCAGTTGCCCGATCTTTCTGCTTCAATGAAATGCTTTACCAAAGCGACCATCTGGAAATATTGAATCCATAGCTTCGCTGTAGGACCGTTGCCTTGTAATTTTGCAAGCGATTCTTTGAATTTCACCGCAACAACTCTGAATGCCTCGCTATTAACTTCTTTCAGAATTATTGATTTATCTTCATGATCAAGTAATTGTTTCATCACGTCACGATCATCGTCAGTAAACTCAATTGATTCCAGAACCACTTGAGCCAAAGCAAGGTGACATAATATATGTGCACGAACTGCACGAGCATAAGCATGCCCAGCTAGCATTTTTTCTGTACTATTTTCAGCATAAATAGTACTGAACAGTTCTTTTAGTCCACTGCCACCCATTATGTAGCCAATGGCACCTAAAAAAGACATGAGTAGGTGGAATCCTCCAAGTCTTACCACAACATTTCGAAACTCAGGATTGTTTGCAACGATTTCTTGAGCTTTAGCATACAGTGGCTGGTCGAAAGTAACAAATACAGTTTTTTGATTGGAGCCTTTTTTGGCAGCTGTGAGAAGAGCCGTATAAATCGTATCATATTGACTTGGTGGATTGTTTATGAATGGAAGACAAATTATCTTCGACTTCGTGAAATCTTTAGCCGTTGCAGTCTCCATGAAGCCGCTCCATCCTGGAAGTTCGGAATCTACCCATTTTCCATAAAGCCAAAGTAAATCAGGAGACGAAGGTAAGATGTCACTCGGAAGTGGATGTGTTTTCTCGATATCTACAATTTTCACCATTTTTAAACCGGTATTCTCTTGTTTATTGTAAATTGCGAGTTCAACGCAACCAAACTTTCCTACTTCCAGTGCCGTTGGTGATGTAGACAGCCGTCAGATTTTTTGGTCGGGTGATACAGCATCATAAGGGGTCACACATTGGATAGCTCCCATAATGTGAACAGTATTTAAAGCATCTATTGTGTTGACATTATGGTCCGCATTATCACAAACAAACTGAGAGAATGAATTTGGGTCAATCGATGTACCAGCCCCATCAGAACGAAGAACGCAAGATTTTTCAAAGAGTGTAGTTTCAAAGTACGACGCCCAACGATGACAGTAAGTCGATAAGCTTTTTAGATCCAAACTTCTTATACAAGTATGTACTGACACCAATTAAAATTGACGACAGAAAAGATCTAGGTCTTACGGCTGAAATTACAGCATGCGACAGCGCTTCGCATATTTTATTCCATTTATCGGTATTACCTCGTTTTTTTTCAGTATTATTTCTTGTAATAAAACTTTAAGCGATTGTGGAATGACAGAATCAACTTCATGCAAAAAACGGTCAGATGGTGGATATGTAGACATCTCGTAGTCCCGTGAACGGATATCCGCTAAAATAATAGCAGCAGCTTCTTTGACAACTCTTAATCATTCTTCTTCAGGATTAGATTCTTTATTGTTGTACCAACTGTTCGACAGTAGTTTGTATCCCGTGTCCCGAAAACAAATGACAGGCGACTGGTTGTTTTTTTCCAATGATAAGAATATCATCACCATAATTCTTTATAAGTCGTGACTTAACAGTCCTCGGGTCTGGACGGTATTCACCTTCAATTTGGTTCATGATTTCATCGAGAGAGAATTGGCACTCTTCAGAATTCTCGGCTAAGTACAAAAATATTTGCTCCATTGCTTCGTCTACATTACTCGCAGGTCGATACCCTCTTTTTTGACCTGATGGCACTCTAAAATACAGTCGTTTTAAACATGATTGATGGTACCTACCACCCGCGGCGACCAAGTCTGTCACATGTTGAATACGATCTATTATTTGCCGTCCCCATTCATCACCTCGTTCTTCAGCTGTTTTCAATATTGTATATTTGACTGCTAATTTCTCCACCAGGCAAATATTATCTCGATCCAACAATCCTTTTTTTATCTGTTTCTTTAAAAAGTCGTCTGTTATTTCTTCAGTACATATAAAACATTGTGTTTTGAAATTGAAACTTGGGACACCAGAACGGCGTGATGTTGAAGTCGCGGCTGGAGGAGCGTTAACTTTCTTATTCAGGTACGCGACGATGAGTTTTTCGTTATTATAATTCTTCTGACATGCGGTGTGCACCGTCACTGATGATAATGCTTTTAGGAAGCGCACATTTTCATGTAAGGAACGTTTTTCACTCGATTTAATTAGTGTTTGCACTCCTCTCTCTTTCACAAGAACTGAATCACTTTCATTAAGATTGTTTTTACAAATAAAACATTTATTCGGACTCGGACATATTGAAAATAGTGAGTCGTATTACTAGCGTTTCTCACAGCGCAGCATTACGTGCAGCTGGTTGCAAACCGTGAGCACACTGAGACACTGACGTAATGTTCAATGTTGTGTTGTGAACGGGACCGCGAACGTGCGTCATACAACCGTCTCGCTCTCGCGCGCAACTAGAGAGTGCAAAACGGCAACGTCGCACTGCCGCGGTGACGTCTCGTGCCTGGTGGTTACGATTAACCCGCGTAAAAATAATGAAAAATATAGGGTTGGGCATTTATTCGATCCTCTCTAACTTTTTTATCATAAAAATTACAGAATAAACATGAATACAAAAAATGCAGGGAATTTTGTCCTCTCTATTCTCCCCATAGACACTTTTGACAAGATATCTATGGTTAAGAAGTTATTCAGAAAAAACCTAATTTCGGCACTTTCTATTAAAGATGGCGGCAAGAGCCTTTGACTCTCAAGGTCGAAAATTTGGATTTTTATAAGCCCCTGATACCTTAACAACATATGTAAAAATGGCTTTTACTCCACCTTTTGTAGGGCAAAATTACCTACAGACTGGATTACTATGACTACCAAGGATATATCTCAAATTGTATGTTCGTTCGTTACAAGACAGGGTCGTACGGTTCGCCAGTGGCCTGAAAACATGCCTGGGCCTGATTTTGTGAAAGCCTTTGCTAAAAAAAACAATCTAACAACGCGATTGGCCACAAACATCAAAGGGCTTCTGTGGGTGCTACACAAATAAAAGAGTTTTTTGAAAATATTGAGCCCTATTTAAAAGATGCTTCACCCTGTGATGTGTATAATTACGATGAAACTAATATTACAGACGATCCAGGTTCCAAAAAAGTGCCAAGAGGACGCAAGAGGGTTGAACGAATACAGGAACATTCGCGCACAGCTATAAGCATAATGGTATGCGCAAATGCTAAAGGAGATCTTCTCCCACCAATGGTGGTATACAAGAGGCAAAACGTATACAAAAATTGGACCATGGGAGGCCCCATAGGAACTGAGTATTCCTGCAGTAAAAGTGGCTGGTTCGACATGAACCTGTTTGAAGACTGGTTCTTTAGCATTTTGCTGCCACACATACAAGTCAACAGTGATCTAGAAACTAAAAAAATTGTGATTGGGGATAACTTAGCGTCGCATTTCTCTCCTAGAGTCATAGAAGCTGCAATAGAAAATAATATCTATATGGCACCACTTCCTGCCCACTCTACTCATATTATGCAGCCACTAGACGTTAGCTTTTTCGGACCCATGAAAAAAAAATGGAGAACGATTCTAGATACGTGGAGGAAGCAATCTCGTCGTAGGGGAACAATACCTAAAGAACATTTCCCATCACTCTTAAAGACGCTATGGAGTTCGATTGAGTTGACAGCTGAAAAAAATATCAAGTCTGGTTTTAAAACCACAGGTAGGTACCTAGGTACTAGGCAAATTTCAAATACCTATTCTTTAAGGTCATTGTTTTTTACAGGAATACATCCATATAACCCCAACGAAGTGTTATCAAAACTTCCATCCGAACTTTCGTCTTGTGGATCAGAAAGAAGACTGGATGAAAGTTTATTGGAATTTCTAAAGAATACTAGAGGGTACAATAAATCCTCTACGACAAGAAGAAGAGGGAAAAAAATATCAGTTCGACCTGGCCAACAAATGCTCCAACAAACTGTGGAGCAGCAATCATGTTTACCTGAAAATTTAAACGATATCCAGGCCTCTAATGTGATACCTGATGCTTCAAGTAGTGGTACCCCAAAGGCACCAAATGACAATAATGAAAATGAACCCCTTTCTTCTATTGCTGAGAAATGTAAAAAAGTCAGGACAAAAAAAAAGAATATCAAATCATCTGGTTTAGTCACGCCCTCTACTAGCAAGTCGAAGCAATCGGATTATGACTATGCCACTTCAAACCATTGCTCTGTGTGTAACTGTCAATACTCAACCTACACAGATCCAAGGGATTGGATATGCTGTATTTCCTGTATCAAGTGGGTATGTGGCATTTGCAACCAAGGTTCCAAAGAAACAGAGTATGAATGCCCAGAATGCAACCTCTGTTCGATATGTAAGTGCGACTTTTCTGTGTATGTTGGCAAGCAAGATTGGATACGCTGCATTACCTGCAATCGTTGGGTTTGTGGAGCATGCAACAAGGGTTCCAAAAACCCTAGATATGAATGTCCAGCATGCGAAGACGAGGACTAATTTCTCAGTTTTTATATAACACAGAATTGTTTTTTTTTACATTATTAGTTTTATGTGTAGGACTCTTTTTATATAGTGGAGAATTAGTCGGGTTTTTTTAATTAAACCAGTTTTGAACAGCATTACATGCCTTTTTTAAAAAATATATATATATTTGGGTGTCGAAGTAATCCACTGAAAGGCCTATTTCGACATTACAGTTCTTTAAGAGCATGTGTTACGTCGTGGAAACATTAAAAACCGGCGTTAAAATGGTCAAATGCCCGTCGCTGTAGACAGGGCATTTTTCAAGATACGTAGCTCAAATTTGGAATAGAGTACCTTCAAATCTTGAGGTACAATATGTCTGAATTAGAATATTAAAAATCGCGAGTGTTTTTGCAAAAACTACCCTTGAAGTATGACGTTAATGAGAAATATAGTCAATGTTTGACATATTTTTTAGAGGGTTAGAATAATAAAAGTGGAAAAACAATTCAGTCATAATGGAGTTTAGACTGCTATTTACCTTTAAAAAAAATTGCGAGTCATTACAGTTGATAATAAAATAGTTCTGGGATCGGGTAAAAAGTATGTTTTCGTCATAATTTTTCCGGGATCCAGTATTAGTTTCTCCCACCTTACATTCACAACAGTTTGGTGTGTAATCATTCGGTTATACCCGCGATCGTACGGACACAACGACTGACAATCCAAAAAGGAAGGAAATATCACGAAGGATTAGAAGTGTACTACTGTACTGTAGTTATTATTCTTCTTATTACTTATTATTATAACATTTTTGCGTTACGAGGTACGTACGGGATTGTGACTTGACGAACGCACCATAGGAATTTCAATAGTAATTTTTTAATTTCCGAATTGGCTTCCCTAATTATTTTAGAAATAAAGTCTATTTAGGTTTTTTGTAGAGAAAAAAATTACGAATCCGTACATACTATTGTTTCCTATTTTATAAATTCAGAAACAGTAAAAATTTAAAAATTAAAAACCGTCGCGTTTAGAAAGTCGGTAATGCCATAATGGAATTATGAATTTAAACAAAAGCGCTCGCATTGTGTTTATGGAAAAATATAAAAAAAGAAAACTCGAAAATTAACAATCTGTTTTTACTAGTAAAATTCATCCGATCAATTGAAAATCCGTATTTGGTCAGTTCTTTTGATGACAAAACAATAAGACAAACCCGATCACCGTAGGTGCCACAGCCACTGAACGAGCTCCTAGCGAGTTTATAATTTTGCGGTACCTGTCCGTCTGTCCGTCCGTTACCACGATTTCTCGATAACGAATGGACCGATTACAATGAAATTTTGTAGGTGGATTCATTATCAAGTTTGTAGATCGGAGTTCGTGAATTGGTAATGTAGGTCAAAAAATAAGGAAGGCCCTTTTGACATCTCTGTTAGTGATGAACCGAATTGCATGAAATTCAATATGCGTATAGGTTTAGCCATATAAAACGCAATTCCAAAAATTGAGCCTAACCGATCAACATTCACAGTGCCTTTTTCGCATCTCGACCATTTATAATCCGAATTGCAAACTTTTTTATTTATGAAGGTATTTAAATGAAATTTGATACATAGGCACTTGAAATAAAACCAAATTTACCGCGAGTTTCAAAATTTCGGTTTGCGCATGCGCAGTGCTAACTTTCTTATTTATGGAGGGATTTAAATGAAATTTGATACATAACTACTTGAAATAAAAGCAAATTTAACTCCAGTTTCAAAATTTGGTTTTGCGCATGCGCAGTGTCAACTTTCTTATTGATGGAGGCATTCAAATGAAATTTGATACATAGCCACTTGGAATAAAAACAAATGTAGCGCCATTTTCCAAATTTGGTTTTGTGTAGGACGTGCAATGCCAACTTTCTTATTTATGGAAGCAATAAAATGAAATTTCATACATACATAACACATAATACACTTTAAATAAAAGCAAAACTGACATCGGGTTTAAAATTTGGTTTTGCACATGCTATAGCCATACCCAAGAGCTCGATTTTTATATTTGTTTAGTTTATTTAAATAAACAAATTTTAAAAAACGATGCTTTGTCGCATGCTCGGGTCGCATCAAGCGATTCTTTAAAACGTGAACTTTTTTATGCTTCTATTGGAGCAAAATGTACGATTTCTATTACCTAATGAGAGTGCCAAGGGCCTATTATAGAGTTACCGTTCTTGTTATATTTCGGGAGTTATTTCATTTGTTAGTTAACTAAAAAAATTCCAGAGCCCGTCTTCTTGCAAGAATCATCGGGCCAATTTTTGTAAATAGGGTTCCACTATCTGTAACAACATTATAAACGCTCTGGGAGTTACCCAGTTTGAAAGACAAAGCATAATTTTTTTTTAATTTGTTTATTCAATCATGCAATGACTATGAAACCTCGTATGAAAATTATGGTGATTGGGTTTGTCATATTTTTTGTTATCAAAAGAAATGACCAAATACGGATTTTCAAAAAGATGGGATGAATTTTACTTAGTAATAACAAAATGCGAATTTATTTCTTATATTTTTCGATAAAAAACAATAAACAAAACAATGTTGTATTAAACGTACCGTAAAATTCCCAAAAGGCGTTATGATATGGGGATGTATGTCAGCAAAAGGTTTGGGGCACTTTGAAGTTATCGACGGTACTGTAAACGCAGAGAAATATCAAAAAATATTAAGGAATAGAGTTCTCCCGAGTGTCAATAAGCTGTATGGCGAAAAAGATTTTGTTTTCCAGCAAGACGGAGCCTCTTGTCATACAACCAAATCAACTCAAAATGGCTCTCTGAGAATGGGATAACAGCTCTGTCATGGCCTTCTACTTTCTAGTAGCCCAGACCTAAATATTATTGAAACCCTTTGGCATAAGATGAAACAGCAGTTACTAAATAATCCCCAGAGAACAGTTCCAGATTTAAAGTCAAAACTGGCAGATATGTGGACTAAATTGTCACCTGTACACTGACTAAAAAAAAATTGAGAACGCTTTGGGAGTCGCCCAGTGTGAAAGACAAAGCATCGTTTTTTTTTAATTTGTTGGTGTAAATAAACGTGTAAACAAATACAGCAAACGAGCTCCTGGGTAGGGCTCTAGCATGCTCAAAACTAAATTTTTAAACTGGAGCTACATTTCCTTTTATTCCAATTGTCTAAGTATCAAAGTTCATTTAAATGCTTTCATAAATAAGAAAGTTGGCATGCGTAAAACCGAATTTTGAACCGGCATTAGATTCGATTTTATTCCAAATGCCCAAGTATCAAATATCATTTAAATACTTTCATAAATAAGAAAGTTGACCCTGCGCATGCGCAAAACCAAATGTTGAAACTGACATTAGATTTTAGTTTATTCCAAGTGCGTATATGTATCAAATTTCATATACATACCTTCAATCTTCATAAATAAAAAAGTTTGCAATTCGTTTCATAAATGGTTGAGATGTGAAAAGGGCACTGTGAGTGTTGCATGGGTTAGACTCAAATTTTGGAATTGCGTATTATATGGCACCATTCGGTTAATAATTAACGGAGATATCAAAAGGGCCTTCCTTATTTTTTGACCTACATTACTAACTCACGAACTCCGATCTACAAATTTGATAAAGAAACCACCTACAAAATTTTATCGTAATCCATCCATCCGTTATCGAAATATAACGCTAACGGACGGACGGACAGACATCGCAAAATTATAAACTCGCTAGGAGCTCGATAATAACGGAAACATTAAACGGCTTGTCTTAACAATTAGTTTTTAGGGCTCGTAGATTGTTAATTTTCGGGATTACTTTTTTATATTTTGCCATAAAAAACAATAACTTTTAAAAATGAACGTTCCATACCAACTGTATCTTATAGACAATTCGAGTATAAACAAATTCATTTCTATTCATTTTTTCCCTCAGAGCAATAGTTAACGAGATAATTGAAGTAAAATGCGAAAAGAAACGACATTTTGCCATTTTTTCTTCGTTCTTTGTTTTATAACAAAATGTTCCGGGAGTATGATTTTCAGATTCAGCGGATTTTTTTACATACAGTAGGTACAATTGGTTTCGTTGAGTGAAATGAGAACATCCAGATCCAGCCCAAACGGTAATTTGACTGGATTACATGATTATACCTACATTTTATTTTAATAAGCGTTGAGTTGTCTTTGCTTTTCTCTTTGTATTTGTAATTCTAATTACATACTTACAAAGGGAAAAGAGAAATATTGTCCTTTACAGTCAGCGGTATAGAAGATTATTGCATCGTGAATGCATATTCAATATTGTATAATGCAGTACATCAGTATCAGTATACGCGATAACGCGACACGAGTGCATGATCCCCTTCCCAAATTTGACTTTCCTCTAAAAATGTGGCGGGAGAAGTTACTGGAATTTCCCCTTTCGAGTCAGGCCAGCCGACTTCAACGCTAACGTTACAAATGCTCTTAAAGGTGATGTCGAATTAGCCCCACCATGGGGGTTACTTCGACACCATTTTTTTTAATTTTTTTTTAATTGTTCCTTTGTTTTTTTTGTTTTAAAGTGAGTGGAAATTGAAAGACAAGGCATTGAATGTCACAAATAGAGTAATAAACAACTAGTTTTGAAGTTTGAAATCCACTGTACAAGCCCAAAAGTTCCAAAACTATGTCGAAGTAACCCCGTTTTACGGTATACTTTATTGGACAAACAAGCTTTACAAATTGTAGTCTCTTTAAGGATTGGTTCAAACATTTGCCATCCTCATACATGTATTTGTAGTGCTTCTGTTAATTCTCTAGAACATCATGGTCTATCTTGTTCGAAAAGTTCAGGTAGATTCTCACGACATAGTGTCATAAATAACATTTTAAAACGGGCTCTGATATCAATTGATATCGCCATTGAAGCCATGGGAACCTGGAGCGAAGAAGCCAAAACATTGTGGCATGAAATAGGTTCCTTGCTACAAACAAAAACGCGAGTTCGTCAAGCCAAAACCTATCTCCAACAACAAATAAGCTTGACGATACAACGCGGCAATGCAGCAAATGTTTTGGTAACATTGCCGCGAGGGATTGGAATGAGAGAAATTTTTTATTTACTAACATAATATATTTTTAATTATTTATTTAAGATATGTGGAATGGAATATTAAATGCACAAATTTATATGGAAAAAAAAGTATGAATCCACAAGAGGTCGCGGAATATAACCAAAGTATGTCTGGCGTTGATAGGAGTGATCAACTCATTTCATTCATTTTCATACTACAGTTGCCCTAGAAAGACAGTAAGGTGGTACAAAAAGGTTATGTTTCATTTATTGGACGTTAGTATCATACATACAGTTTCCTGATCTACAGGGAATTTGTATCAAAAGGATGCCTTTTGGAGTTCCATGAAAGTCTCATCAGGTCTCTATTAAATATCTCAGATGACATAAAAGATGGAAGAACCTTAGTGAAGCGTGGTGCAATCGAACCCCCAAAACATGTAATGGAGAAGATACTAACACCTGAAAATTATAAGAGAAAATGTTATTTTTTACGGTGCAGAGAGTGTTCAAAAACGGGACAAAGAGGCCAAACGTCATGGCGTTGTCGAGGTTGTGAAAATCTACCACCACTCTGTGCGGGTGGGTGCTTCGAAAAATTTCATCAAGGACTTATGTAAGAACTACTATTTTGTTTTGTTTTGTTATATGTTTATGAGTTTTGTATGAGTTACTTTTGCTGTTCCTTTTGTAATGGGACATGATTTTAGTTTAAATAAAAGAAATATACCTCAAAACTTAAAGCGTCTGCAATTGCAGACATGTCCCTTATACATAAAATATGGAGATGGTAAGGTAAGGGACATGTCTGCAATTTAAGTCCTATTTTTTTTTACAAAGTCAGCATTAATTATCAATTTGAAACACTTCAACAGCTTAGCAAGGACCCCAATCTTAGGTTCCTAAACATTTTTAGTGTGACGCTGAAATTAACCTCTAAGAAAATAATGTGTCCGCGAATGTGTTAACATGCCTTCCGATGCAGAACGAGAACTCAAAATACAATGCGAAAGGATGAAAAAACGATTGAGATTTTAACAAACAAGTTGAAAGTCATACATTGACTCAAGAAGAAAGCACGCTGCTTGTCCATTTCTCGTACATCGTTTGTAAATGTTCTCCTCAAAAACAAGTCGACTGCAGTAAAAACGTTTGTGAAGATGCAAGTTCACCATAAAAACAGATCTAAGTGGACAACAGACGAAAAAGATTTGGCTCTTTCACTGTATTACAGATCCCCAAGTGGTTACCAATTCATGTTGAAAAAATTACATTTTGTCTTGCCCTCAATTAGAACAATACAATTTTGGCTAAATATTGATAAATTAAGAACCGGTTTACAGACAACCCTAGTAAGGAAAATAGCTCAGAAGGCTACATGTATGACGGAAATGGAAAAATATTGTGTTGTAATGTTTGACGAAATTATTTTAAAAAAAGAACTACAATACAATCAAGGAGAAGATATGATAGAGGGTTATGTAGACTTGGGCAGTTTAGGAAGGCAAGCGAAGATTACTACAACTGGCTCGGTGTTTATGATAAGGGGATTACTTATCCATAATTGGAAAATTCCATTATGTTACTATGCGTCAAACGGTCCGATTCCAGGAGCTACAGTATCTAAATTGATTAAGGGCCGGTTGTACAATCGTAGCTGTCTGTAGAGCTCCCGTTTAGTTGAGTGTAACCCTAAGTTCGGATTGTGTTGTATAAACGGTGGTTTAGTAAAGAACTATTTGAGGGAAAGTTTAAGGAATCTCGAACTGATTTGGTACCACAGGTGCACCTCACATGCGCATTGGATTGATTTTGACAGTTTTTTTTACACATCCACGTAAGGTTTATTGGTTATGTTCTTTGTTGATATTACTTACAATTTACTTTTTAGACCATATTTGCAGTTATCATGACGCCCGAGAAAAAAGATCAGCCAATTTTTCCACAAGAGAGGAGTGCATTTTAATAAGTGTCATAAAAAAGTACAAAAACATTATTGAGTGTAAGCTTTCCGACACAATTAATAATACGAAGCAGAGCGAATGCTGGATTACGGTGGAAAAAGTTAAGCGGAGGTACATATCAAAATGGAAATTTTAGAATTGGAAAAAACCTTATAAATAAATAGAAGCAAATCATTGAATGCTTGAAGTAAATTAATACCACATATTTGTAAACACATTTAATATTTAGCAACTACAATAAATTTTGAAAATAATTTAAAATTAACTGTTGTCTAACTGCATTGTTTGGCCCCTCATTATTAATTATTTCTTCGACATCAACATTATTGATAAATTTAAATGCTTCTTCTTTCTCCTCATTAAGGTCTGGTAGTGGTTCGTTTAATTAACATGCTATGTTATGTAACACTGCAGTCGCTATTACAACAGATTCAACTTTTTCTACTGCTAACCCTGATTCCAAATCGCTCGATTGGATTTCGAGTTCTAATTTGTGATTCGTTGAATAAATGTTCAGCTTGGGTATGCGGATAGAAAGAGGAGTTATTAGGAATGGGCGTAATGCATACCCACTACCACCAACTAGAACATAAGGGTCATGTATTCTGTTTTCAAAATGTGCTCTTATCGCACTATTATTAAAAATAGTTGAGTCATGACTCATGAGATGAATCTGGCCATCGACATACTACATTTTGAAATTCACGAAAACATAATTTTCGTACTTCCGAGACTAAAGTGACAACTTCACTCCATTATGACAAGTACTGAAGTGTCACTTTGTCCCGCCGGGATTAAATTTGGACGAAAATCCCGGAAGGATGAAATTACTAACAAGGCAATTTCAGTAGGTTGTTCCACATTTTGTATGCGGCACTACTTCTTAAACGCATCGTACTGCTGCTCATATAGTTTTTTTGGATTTCGGTGGTATCAATTCTTTACCTACTTTGGCTGCTTTTTATCAATATCAAATACACCTTTGTCACCCACCACCAAAATTATGACACTAGCAATGACAGTTCCTATGGTAACTTGTTGAGCAGCGATTTTTTGAAAGAACGCGTTCTCTAACTCCATACATATTAAGTGTTTCTGTTTCGGAAGTACGAAAAATATCGTATATACCTTGCGACTGAAGTAGTGGTCTTAATCCCTCAGGTAAATTATGGCCCTCCCTTCGGTCGGGCCATAAACTTTACCTTCGGGATTAAAAGTAGTACTTCAGTCCCGCGGTATATAATATACTATATTGTACACTCCCATTGAAATTATCGTACGTTATATGGTACGCTTCATTGATTATAACTAAGCCTCGGATTTGTATGCGGAAACATGTTTTTTTTGCTTGTACATTTAGTGCCCTTATTTGGAATTTATGTGTTTTGGCGAAATACCTTTTAAATTACAAAGTTTTATTTCGTATATAACATAATATATTGCATTTATACCGCATAAAAAATTATTCTCCATATTTAAGCATTTAAACACATATTTAGTCAATATTTTCAAGAAATCAAATTTCTTAGAATACCCGACCATTATTTTATTTTACTATTTATTCTAGTTAACGTAGTTTCAGCACAATAAACAAAGAAAAGCACCAACCTCGTGGCTAGACTTCAGGCGCCAATATATTAAATAAATCTCACATTACATTGCTTACCCACGCAGAACGCACTTCCTTATTTTTATCTTTTTAGTTTAGCAGTCTTTTAGTGTCTGAATTGCAGTCAGGTGCAGGTGTTCAATGGTGCAGGTGTTCAATATTTGTTTTCATAATGCCAAAAAGTGCTTCCAGTCGAAGTGAGTTACTTCGCAAGTGGATAACAACCTCCAAACATTTAATTACAGACGGTAATAGTATTTTACATTATTAGCCAGGTAAGTGAGTTTTTACTGGCGATAGGAGAAGTTGACTGGCGAGCCTGTCATCTCCTAGAGCCAGTAAAAACTATTACCTGGCGTATAATGTACAATATTTTATTTGTTACTCATTTGTAAACGTAAATAATTAGTTCTTAAATTGATCTCGAAGAGATGTCTAAAATATCATATTATCCATGTAACAGAGACTTCGCATTAATTCTGGCCAATGAAATTACTAGATTACTAACTTGTAAAATTTTTACAGGTCTGCTGTCAGTTTTACAGGTCTGCTGTCAGTTTTACAAGTCAGTAGCGTTTAAACATGACGTTTACCCGTTTGCGTTTTGTCTTGTTAATCAACGTTTACAACTGAGTAACAAATAAAATTATTTACTGCAATGTTTGCGAAAAGCAGGTAAAGTTTATTCCCTCATCCAGACCTTTATATTTAACAATTATTTTATTATTGTTGTCAGGTCTCTTGTGGCCAAAAGTACCAAATTGACCAACACTTATCAACAGATCTGCATAAAAAATCAGAACAACGTGCAGGTGGCAAAAGTAAAAATAAACAATCTTTAATTACCAATTTTCCAAAATCGGGCGCATCATGTTCCAGCGGCGGCGAGTCAAATAATAGCAATACATTTTACCTAGAACTTTGCGAAATGATGGTTGGAGCCAACATCCCTTGGAACAAATTAAACAATCCTCTTTTCCGTGACTTTCTAGAAAAGTATTGTAACCGGCATATTCCAAACGAATCTACGTTGCGGAAGAACTATTTACAGAAATGTTACAACAATCTTCTTGAAATTATAAAAAAAAAGTTGTCTGCAAAAAAATTTATCTAATTGTAGATGAAACGACTGATGCTTGTGGTCGCTATGTAGCAAATATGTTAGTTGGTGTTTTAGATGAAAATGAACCCCCTATTTCTTATTTGATTCAAACAAAAGTTCTGGATAAAACAAATCATGCTACAGTTTCGCATTTTATAAATGATGGTTTGACCAAACTTTACTTACCCGAACCCGTTCAAATTGAAAACGTAATTTTAATGCTTTCCGATGCTGCAGTGTAGGGTAACCCAGGGTGAGACGGTGAACAAAACTTTAAACGACGACAGCTTTCAAACTATAGTTTATTTAGTGCAACTAAAATAACATACTATTCACAAAAGACATATAAATAAAAAATATAACTCTAATTGAACAACAAAGCGACATTTAACGACGTAAAAAATATTTTATTTTTCTTACCCTTTCACCATCTCACCCATACATGGTGGGTTAGATGGCGAATTCAGAGTGGGTGAGATGGTGAACGAAGAAATTGACTTAAACCTTTCTCAACTTAACCTTTCCGCATGTATCACACAAGTCACCGTATTTAGTACAATCTTCATGAAACCATCGTTCACATTTGAGACACTGTATCCAGTCAACGGGTTTTTTCGTTTTACTGTATTCCTCGTCGCAACCAACGCAACAAGTTTCGTCTTCATTAGGATCATCATCAGAATCATTGAGCTGTAGTTCTACAGATGACTCAGATTCCGTATCACTCCATGAAACAGTCGATCGTAATTTCGATTTCTCTTTGATTGCCAAGCCTTTCGTTTTCTTTCCTGTGATTTTAGGGTCTTTGTTTTCTTTTTGTATCTTCATTGAGCTTTTTGCTTCTTTCTCCTTCTTTTTTTGCCTTTTGTCTTTAAGTGTCTGAATGTTGCTGCCTGAATTGAGAATTTCTGCTAAATTTCTAGAGTTCTTCCTCACTTTTTCAACTTGAGCGATGACAGGCACAGGCGAAATTGCGTCCAAAAGTTTTCCTGGGGTCACATTTTCATTCGCGGAAGGTTCAGTTTCCAATACAATGCTGGAAGAGCTTTGGGATTCTGAAAAGTTTCTGGCATCGTTCGTTGAATTGGAAGTGCCTGGTAGCGGAATATCATCTCTTTCTGGTGATGTCTGCAACAAACCTGCTTCTCCGGGCTCGCTTGTTGTTAAGTAAGCATAATCCGGAATGGCATGTGGATTGAAGGGAACAATCCCTGTTGCTCTAAATCCAGAGATAGCGTTATTTGCTGTGGCAGCCAAAACCCAGGCATCAGACAATAATTTCCCGAAAATAAGTCGTGATATTTTTCTACCAGGGTTCATCTTCATGTAAGAGTTGCAAGCATTGCTATAATACGTTTTCAACGCCTTGAAAAATGCCCTGTCGAGGGGTTGCAGGTAATGTGTGGTGTGACTCGGCAAGCATAAAAGTATTATGCCATGCGTTTCAGCAAATTCCAGTGTTTCTACTGATGAGCAATGTGAGCTATGCCCATCAAGTATTAATAGGACAGGTCCATCTGGTTTTCTGGGCAAAAAATGATCCTTGAGCCACAAAAAGAAAATATCCGTTGTAACATATGCAGATTTGACTGACATGTAGATAGTTGAACCGGGTGGCATGTTATCCCTATATTCTGGTTTTTCATTTTTGCCTTTAAAGACACATGCGGGAGGAAGAAATGTGCCTTCACCATTGCAACAGGCGATAACGGATATTGTTTCGCCTTTTTCACCAGATGTTACGTTTGTAACACTCTTTGAGCCTTTTGCTGCTACGACATATCCTGGCTTGTTATTTAATTGCAGCCCAGATTCATCCATGTTGTAAATATTACTGGGCTTATTTACTAAACCGTTATCTACCAGAATGTCTTGCAACAAATCAAAATATTTCAACACATTTGTCTTGTTCATGTTCCGAGAACGTGCTAAAGAGATGCCTTCTGATTTTCGAATGCTAAGTTCCGGGTTCCGGCTCATAAACAAATGAAGCCAATCAAGACCAGCCATTTCATTTTCTTTGTTGAAAGTATGCCGTAATTTCAACTGCTCTGCCAGTTTGAATGCTATGGAACGAACTTCATTTCTTGTTGGTGAGAATCCAAATTTTTGCATCTTCATTATGTGCCTAACAATTTTCTTTTCATTCGTCTCGCCTAACACAGACATTGGTCCCATAGGTTTTTTTTGTCATATCGCCCTTTTGAATCCTTCGCTTCAATGTGGACCATGGAACGCCAAATGTTCGAGCAGCTTGATTCAAAGTTTGTCCATTATGAACAGCGTTGACTGCATTTTGCAGCTGCACTGACCACGAACCTCTAGAAGATGTTCTCTTACGTTTGTAAAATGTTGGCATATTGACTGAAATATGATCAGTAAGTATTAAAAAGTGTTTCAATCAAATCCTTAAGTTTTAGTTTTCACCATCTCTCCCGCAAGCACATTCACCATCTCTCCCTTTTTGCATGGGTGAGATGGTGAACACTGCTGCGGTTGGTAAGATCAAAATCCCGCGCATATTTTAGGTTAGGTAACGTCTTTACACTTTAAAACCAACGTAAATTGCAATATAATGTGCCACAAATTAAAACTGAAGTTTTTACGGCACGCAATTCCACATGCATGAAAATATTTTAGAGGTATGAAAACGATATTTTGTGATTTACTTACCGGTTATTGCACAGTACACCGATATCACACGTGCCGAGTACACAATTAACCTTCGGAAAGAAAGTGTTAATACAGTCTCCGCCATCTAGGTAGTATTTACGAAAATATCCCTGTTCACCATCTCACCCGGTTCACCATCTCACCCTGGTTTACCCTATATGATTAAAGCAGGCCAATCTCTAAAAATATTTTATCCCCAATTAATTCACTTTACCTGTATGGCCCATGGGCTAAATAGATTAGCGGAATTAGTCAGAGCTCAGTACCCACTTATTAATACTTTATTAAATAACGGAAAAAAGACATTTTTGAAAGCACCTCTGCGAATTCAGTATTATCGAGAAGTGGCTCCAGATTTACCTTTGCCTCCAGAGCCAGTAATAACGCGGTGGGGTACTTGACTTGACGCAGTTGAGTTTTATGCAGACAATTTTAAGGTCCTTAAGAACATATTTCTGGAATTGCCAGATGAATCGGTCGCACTTAAAAAGTGCAAAGAATGTTTTAGCAATGAAAACGTTATCCAAGAGCTTGCATTTATAAAAGCACATGAGTAAATAGGCTAGGAGAGTTCCAGCGCAACTTCCGGCCAAATTACATGTAATTTCCCATAAGGAATTCTAAGGTTCATTTGGGTGTTTTTGGAGCAGTTTGGATGTGCGCATGCGCGCCCCGCCCCTTTGCGCAGGCGTCATTTGGACGCCATCTTGGAATCCTCAAGTTCTTGGAATCCTCAAGTTCTTGGACGCCATCTTGGAATCCTCAAACTTCGACCCCTTCGTACCCTGAAAAATTTGTTAATTTGTTAAATGGAACGGATTCGAACCGCCAACCATTGGATTACAAGTCCTATAGCATAACCACTAGGCTAACTAGACTTGTATGATATAATGCTTGGATAGTTGTATTTATATCGAACCTCCTGAAGATTTTTTTAAATGGAACGGATTCGAACCGCCAACCATCGGATTACAAGTCCTATAGCATAACCACTAGGCTAACTAGACTTGTATGATATAATGCTTCGATAGTTGTATTTATAACGAACCTCTAAATATTATT